TGTATGTATGTGTGTGTATGTTCGGAAACGAGTGAACTTTGTCACCCATCTTCAACTCAGCAACCAAAAAAGCTGAGAGACTGAAATTTTGGGGTCAAAATATGCAAATTTCTTTGGCGGGAAACGATTTCGTGATCCAGACAAGATAGAAAGCTGAAACTTTGCAGGGATTTTCCAGGACAGGGACGTGCATGTATGGGGTAAGGATTTCAAATTCAGCTACCGTGCACGTTTGCACCACATGCTCAGTCACGTCAAAGTTCGCTGTCGGCATTGTGCCAACTCGAAAACTAGCCAATAAACAGTAGCTGATATTTTATCAAAATATTTAATGTTCATACACAAAATCGTGCAGCTGAATTAAGTCTCTCTCGACTTGCACTTACACCGCGACTTGGGGCATTTCAAAGATGTTTGTGGCAAAGTGGCTATTTCGCTTATCTGACAATCTGCAAAGCTGAAACTTTGCAAGGGTATTCTATATCCACGTATGTTCTTAATTTAATTTGAAGATAAAATTCCCTGCACACAGACATGACTAATACTCAATTTTATGGCAAACTCAAAAGAAAGTGCATTTTAAAGGTTTCGTAACCCTCTTCCGATTTCCTTTAAATTTGCATTTTTCAAACAGCTAGCATTTATCAGAAAAACGACCGGGCTTCGTGCAAAAAACTGATGGCCATGTACGTAGAGGTCCACGTGGTCTCACAGTGTAACTCCTTCATCCCAATCAACCCTTTCCCTCGCGTGCCGGAAGAGGCCGAAACAGAACCAGTGTGAATTCAGTTGTTAGGCTACAGCGCAGGAATCATTCCTGCTGTTAGAGATCTGCAAATTCAGCGCAAAAGCGCATGATGGCACTGACAAACTTGGTAAGTTGCAGCTTCGGTTGCATTTGCATAAGAATGAAGTGGTTGTTGGTTACACCATTAGTAAGCATTTCGAACATGATGCAGTTGTGAACAAGTAGCCGTCTCAACTACATAAATAAGAACCAAAACATTTTCTAGATGTTTACCTGGCATGCTTTGGTGTAAACACATACAGTGGATCATCAACAGTCAATGCAGTAAGCCGGCAAAACCCAAGTGATAACACAGGTGTTATGATCATTGGCGATACAAGGAAGAACCAGCGCCATTTGTAACCAAATTCACCATACCACTGGAAAAACTCGCGGACTTTGGGTTCCAGTGCTGCACTTCTCATTTGCAAATGCCCATTTATCCACATTCTGCAAATTATTTCCCATACCGCACTGTATTTCACAACGGAGCTGAGGTTTCATTTTTTCTCGTAGGAATTAAAATACATTGCGGTGGATTTTACTCATACTTATATAAACATTTTCATGTGTATATTAAAAATGTGTACATTCACATACGCCTGCCCGATAAGTTTACTCGAAAACAGCAAAAACTAAGGGTAACTTATATTTCGAAAAAAGCAGTTGTCGCCAGAAAGGAACCCTTACTCTCCATGAGAAGCAAATGCTTTTGAGAATTAATCCAAGTTATTGAAAGTGCCAACAGCAACGAACTACTAGAAAAGTCGCTGATCGAATCTTCTTTTGAGGATTACTTACAAGCAAGTTGACGGTAGGTTTAGTTACTTGGTATACTTCAGTAGCAATTTGCCACTGAAACGAATTTGTGAAGAATGCAATCCAAATAACGCAATTACCGCTCAGCTTGATGGTTTAAGCATTCTTCAATTTCCATAGCTACTGGTAAATGAAAATTAGCAAAGAACTGTTCTATATGAAGCAGCTAAAACAGTTGATTTGTGCCTGAAGGAATGTTCGATGAGGGAGAGAAGGGGGAGCAAGAGAGGCAAGGGGTAGGACAAGGCAGGGGAGCAAGTGTGGCAAGATTTCACAGGTCATCGGTCATCATAACTTATGAGGGATGACATTTTAATTGAATGTAAATGAAGGTCATTTTGAGAAATTTATTGGATTGTGCGTTCCGAAGTGTAGTGTCGGTCAACTTTCACTATTTCATCACCCGCCGATTGCTGCTGTCCTTCACAAAAGTCATAATCCAGTTCAGAATATCTGCGCTATCATCTGGTTGTATCCGTGGTTGCGTCAGTCCACTCCAAAACAATCTTGGAGCGTGCTCACCCACATGAGACAAATAATCCGTCAACAATTCTAATAGAGAGAACTGGCTGATTTAAGAATTTCGAGATTGAG